TTTGTGTGTGTTTTTTTTTAAATAGGGTCTCACCTCTATCACTCAGGTTAGAGAGTGCAGTGAAGCAATCACTGCCCACTGCACCACTGCAGCTGTGACCTCCTGGATTCAAGTGATTTCCCCCACCTCAGCCCCTGAGTAGCTGGGACTACAGGTGGTCACGCCACCACCCAGCTAATTTCTTAATTTTCAGTAGTGATAGGGTCTCACTATGTGGTCCAGCCTGTTCTTGAACTCCTGGGCTCAAGTGATCCTCCTGCCTCAGCTTTCCAAAGTGCTGGGATTACAGGCATGAGCCTCCACACCCAGCCCAGAAGGACTGCATTCTAAAAGAATAACTGAAAATATATTAAACACATAAACCAATAACATAGTCACTTGTTATCATTGTCAAGTCTTATATACTGTCTGCTATACTTTTAAACAACTGCTAGCACAGTAGGACTACAGAAACCTGAGTGATGCATTGGGCCATGATGTCACTGGGTGATAGGAATTTTTCAGCTCCTTTATAAACTTAGGGGGCCACCCTTATATATACAATCTATTGTTGACCAAAATGTCACTTTTTGATACATGTCTATATGAGCAAAATTAAAGAATGGAACCAGTATAATTGTGTATTAATGTGGGAATGGTTAAATGGTTTATACAGTGAATGTTATTCAGCAGTTAAATTGAATGAGCTAGCTGTATATGTTTCAATAAAGAAAGATGTCTCAAAAACAATATGAATTGCAAAATAAATTTCATGAAGTTATGTGTAGTTGAATTTCCCTTATTTCAAAAACCTGGGACCAGAAGTTTCTGATTTTTTTTTTATTATTATTTGCATATATGCAATGGGATATCTCAGGATAGGGCCCAAGGTCTAAAACCAAGTTCACTTGTGTTTTATATATATCTTACACACATAGCCTTAAGGTAATATAAGCAGTATATTAAATAATTTCATGCATGACAAAGTTTTGACTGTAACCTGTCACATGAGGTCAGGTGTGGAGTTTCTTTTTGAGTACTAACATGACATGATGCTTGGTACTCAAACATGGCATCATGTTGGTACTCAGAGAATTAAAGATTTTGGAATATTTCAGATTTCGGACATTTGGATTTTTAAAATTCTCGGCCAGGTGCAGTGGCTCATGCCTGTAATCCCAGCACTTTGGGAGGCTGAGGTGGGTGGATCACGTGAGGTCAGCAGTTAGAGACTAGCCTGGCCGACATGGTGAACCCCACCTCTACTGAAAATACAAAAGTTAGCCTGGCATGGTGGCATACACCTATAATCCCAGCTACTCGGGAGGCTGAGGCAGGAGAATCACTTGAACCCCCAGGAGGCAGAGGTTGCAGTAAGCCAAGATGGTGGTACTACACTCCATTCTGGGCGACAGAACGAGACTCCACCTCAAAAATAAATAAAATTAAAAATAAATAAAATAATACATGTATGGATAATAGATATGTAGTAAATATATACTATATAGTAAAATCACCAACTACAGAATAATGCCTTCTACGGAAGTTAGAGTAAAGGAAATAGGGTGAGTCTTTAGCTAATTCGCTGATGTTTGGTTTTGTAAGAGAGACATCTGAAGCAAATATGGCAAAAAAATTAAAATCTAAATATGATTGGTGATACATATATTTTTATGCATACTGCATATTTGAAGTTTTTTTAATTTTTCAGTTTAAGAAAAATTTAAGAAAAATCAGTTTTCATGATTAGTGCTAGAAAGAATTATTACTCATTAAATTCTGAAGTTCCTCACAGAAAAACATATGTAATCCAAGTAAAACTGATTTTTTTCCCTCAATATTAATGATCCTAGATGCCAGCCTGTTATTGTGCTCCAGGCCACTATCACTCCAGTCAACCTCAGTATCGCCCAGTCCCTTCTGTTCATTACAATTCACATCTAAACCAACCACTGCCACAACCTGCACAGCAGACAGGTGAGTCGTGTTTCTTATGTCGTAACTTCTGAGCCATAGGTGTTGCTTTTTTCCATCTTATTTCTATTTCAGTATTGCTCTTAAGATAGTACCTAATCAGTCTCTCAGAATCTCAAATATGTTCATGCCTATGAGTTTGCAAACCAGTGAGATTAAAAGAGTGAGCAAATCTTACCATCCTCTGGAAAATACTACTCTGTCAGGTCTATAGGCTAAAGGGTTGGGAGCTGTACTGGGAATATCCTAAGTAGTGTGTTAAGTGGCTGCCATCCCTCACTGCCACTGAAATTGAAGCTCTCTTTGCAGCCTGATAAATCACCTATGGTAACAGCAAAAGAGAGGCAAGGCAAGATGACTTATGAATGGCTAACCAGAAGCAAAGATCAAAACCACCTAACCGGGATTGAGAACTCTAGCCTAGGGATGATATTTTGATGTTTTAGTAGGCATGCCTTTAAAAGAAATGATGTTCTTAGCATATTTTCTGTTTTGCTTTTCAGTTTGTTGATTGATAGTGAAAAGTATTTTTAAACCAAATACAATCTAAGTCCACTTAAATGAAATTTATTAAAACTCAGCATTATTTTTGTTTTAGTACTTTGCAGATTTTCTTCAAGCATTCACTGAAAACAATTGTGATCTCAGTGTATAAAACTATCTTACTGATTTTTAATGAACTCATTTCTCTATATGCTTCTCACCTAGATGTGTACCTCTGTCCCAGATGTTTAATAAGGTATTTATTCAGCCTTTCATAACTCTAGGAGTTGAAGTAGAATTTTATCATTGGTTTCTTTAGAGCTTTCTTAACTGTTTTTTGCTATTGGAGGCTCCCAGACTATGTGAGCGTGACTCACTGAGAAACCCATAACCTCCACCTCCACTGAGGCTGTTTACTGCTCTTGATACTGTGTGAAACTCTTCATGGTTGCTACCAGTTTAGGAGATGCATCTCTGCACTGGCCCATCTGATGAGTAGTAGCCATACTTCTCTTTACTGTTGCAGTCTTCAGTGATCATTGTGACTCCCAAACTTCCTTTGCTAGATATAGATCATGCTTAGCATAGCCATGTGGGATAACTTCCAGGTCCTTAATCTGTTACTCTTAGATGTTGTCTTGTGGTTAGTTTACAGGTTCTCCCCTTTTTAGTATGTTACTAGCTTTGTATTGTACGTTTGACAAATGTTCTTCCAAAGAATGTTGAATACAAACATTGGTCATTTTAGTCAAGTTAGAATTTTAGTTGCAAGTTACCTAAAATTTAATAATACAGCCCATGTCAAATATTGTAAACTAGTATATGATCTAATTTCAAAAGGTATCAAAAGTTGTTCTGTATTCGTGTTAACATTGGTTGTGGCACTGCTCATTAGCTTTATATACATTGGTGTTTTATTCAGAAACAATTTTCTGAAGTTTTCTGGACCTTAAGTAATTGAATTTTCATACTGTTTTTTCTTGACATTTTTCTCCCAGAATTATAACACAGACTATAGCTGATGTCATGATAATAAAGAAATGCACCTTCATGCTACTCATTTAAATTCCCTTGTATGTGACTAATTAACTTAATTCATTAGTACACTCTATTAATAAGGCAAGCAAAAATCCTTTGTTCTGTATTTGAGTTAGCTTACTAGTTTTGTTCTTCAACATGGCAAAACTTTTCTTCTTCCCCATTGTCAAACTGCCTACAAAATCACTTTCAATCACAGGTTGGGACTGGTGTGCTAGTACAAATGCTTCTCTGCAAAAAAAAAATAATAATCACACTTAATAGATTACAACTAAATATGCCTGATTGGGGGCCAAAACATCTGTGTATCAGATAGCATCTTTTTATCATTGGTAATATTTTTAATTGTGAGGTTTTCTCTGATGCTAGTTACGATGAGAAGGAGCAAACAATAAATCAGATTGCATCTGGATAGTGCTACAGGCACAAAAAAGAGAATCATGTCTTTGAAAAATGTTTGACATTGTGTTTGACTCTTAAGAGTCAGTCATAATATAACAGTTTATTAAAACGAGACTTGTCTTTTCAGCTATTTTTATAGTATCCTCTTAACTTGCAGCTTAAGTTATTTGACTCTCATTCAATTTGAAGAATAGAAGAGGAATAAATCTTCAAAGCATTCTTATCTGAAAGAAAAAGGAATTTTGTTATGCCAATAAGTATCATAAAAATTTCCCTTTAAAGAGAAGTTCAGCAGTGCCAGTGCCAACTATTGTATTGGTAATTGCATTGAACTTTTTCATAGAATTAGTGGGAATTTGAACTGTTTTTTAAAAGTTATAATCTAAAGACATTTTTGTAGTTAGCTCATTGTTAATTTTTATGTCAAAACTTACAGAAGGGCAGGCATGGTGGCTCATACCTGTAATCCCAACACTTTGGGTGGGTCACCTGAGGATAGGAGTTTGAGACCAGCCTGGCCAACATGGTGAAACTCTGTACTAAAAAAATACAAAAAAGTTAGCGGACATGGTGGCACACGCCTGTAGTCCCAGGTACTCAGGAAGCTGAGGCAGGCGAATCACTTGAACCTGGGAGGCAGAGGTTCCAGTGAGCGTAGGTTGCACCACTGCACTCTAGCCTGGGGAACAGAGTAAGACTCCATCTCAAAAAAAAACAGCTTAACAGAAAAGTGTGCATTTATATTTGTTTGTGCCCTAGTGTAGAAAAGTAAAATGTACTGGGAAATTAGCAAGATAGCTCATTGTTTTTGAGTTTTTTTTTTTACAGATATATAGCAATTGCTATCTCATAGTTTACATTTTTATATGGAAACATACTTCTGGGTTTCCTCTTGGTTTTTATTTTCTTACCTGTCTCATATTCTACTATCCCAATCTGATTAAAAATGAGAAATAATTTTTTACATCTATTTTTATATCTTGTCAAACAGTGCTTACCCTACAAAGTGTCAAGAAGCATTTTTTTTTATTATTATTACATACAAGAGTGAAACTATTCAGCCAAATAATGAAAACACTAATAGATTTGGAATGATTTTTTTTTTCACTGTGGCACAAATAAAGTTTAAATGTTTATATTTGAACTTAAAGAAATTTTGCCCTAAATTAACAAACCTGACAGCACAGTATATTTTTAGATCAGATAGGGTATGGGCAGTAGAAATACAGGATCTTTTGTTATTTTTCCTTTGGCGGGTAGGGAGGAGGTTGGGGAAATATCTCAAGGATAAAATGCTCTAGGTCGTTTATCCATGTGTGCCAGTTGACCACAACTAAAATCAGGACTAACATCATTGCTGGTGAAATGAATGTACTAGTCTTTTGTTATGAATGTAAAACTACTGAACTGTTCATTCAAAACAAGGTTGAGTAAACCCCCATCAACAGAAACAGAGGAAACATCCCTGGTTACATACATAAGACTTTCTGGACAATGGATTGTGTAATGGGAAAGAACAACAAAATAAAATCAGAATCCTGATGGCCCTTAGTCATTTTTAACTGGTGTTAGGCATATCACTTAAAGGCACTGAGTTTCAGTTGGACTCATTTGCAAAGTATGGAAATGTTACTATAATGTCTGTTGAAGCCTGTGTGTACTCTACAACTCCATGATTCTTTGTGTCTCATATGAGTCATTTCTAGTGCAGAAAGATAGAATATTAGAGAACTGGTTTGTAATAGCTTGGCAACCAACTGTCAATAACTGGAGTCCATGAAAGCAACTGTTTCAAAAGATCGGATTACTTGCCAGTTGCACTAATAGAGATTTATTACTTTAAACCTTTATCATAAAATGTATACTTTGAATACTGTAAAGTATACTGCATATAAGGAGTTTGGTATACTATAAAGAAACTTTTTCTGCAGGTAGTAATTATAGCAAAGACTTTAGGTTTACAAAGCTTTAGCTCTTTCCTATGTAGCTGCTGTTATTCTTATGACTTGAAAAATTTGTAGCTTCACCATATACATTTAATATTTTGCAATAATTGGCCTTGTTCCTGAGCTGTTGGATTCGGGGCCGTAGCACTGTCTGAGAGGTTTACATTTCTCACAGTGAACCGGTCTCTTTTTCAGCTGCTTCCTGGCTTCTTTTTACTCAGGTTTCCACTGCTTTTTTGCTTTTTTTTTAAATTAATGCTGTATGAAGGTGTTAACATTTGTTTATATTTTCCATTAATTGTAATACCTTTAAATCATGCATCATACTCAGAAATAGGGATTTTAATTTAAGTGACAGCTTTAGCTTAATATAATTTACCTATTAAAAATTTGTGAAAGCTGTTTCTAATTTATTTTCCAAAGTAGAATGGATGGCAAATTCAGTTTGGTTTTGAGCTTATCTAACAAGCTTAATGTTTTAAGCTTACCAAACTCATTAGCAGAAGTCAAATATGTTTCTCCCTATTGCTACACAACTTTTCAGGGATATTATATATGAAAGCATGACATCAAATGGACCTAATACACCTAAATGCATTTGAAGCTACTTGGGCTCGGCTCTTACCAACAATATAATTTAATTTTTTTTCATACAGTGATGTTGTTGCACACCTATGTGAAGCAAAATTATTCTGTAAAACTATACTTTTAATTTTGCAACCATTTGATAACTTCAGAATTTATTAATGCATTTTATCTTTAGTCTTAGTTTTTCAGTTAACTCAGAATCATGTGGTTCCAAGTTGATTAAGCTTTGTTACCCGCAGACTATAGCAGGTTCCTGATCAATGACACTATGTAAGAAATATGTTAGGATAACAGTCTTCAATGCATGCAGATTGTTGACGGAATTTCAAGGCACAAATTTAAGGATAACTAGGGTGTAAAAGGCAAGCAAGGGAAAAACAGCACTATTAGGTAAGCAGGTGAGGGGGCTTATTGCCAGAAGAGTTAGCCGTGTCAAACAGGGTCTCTAGATACAAAGTCAATAATTTCTTTATTGACAACTTTCAATCCAAGTAGTAGGAATTTTGTATTTGTAAATTTCTGGATAGTGGCCCTGGCTATTCTTGT